TGTTTTTGAGGCTCACCAATGGTTTCCATCTTGTGGTGAACCCTCTGTATTCACTCTGGTGAAGTCTTCTCTTGATTGTTGACTTTGACACACATACACCTACCTCCTGGAGAGTGTTCTTGATCTGGCCAACCGTTGTGAAGGGTGATTTCTTCACCTGGGAAAGAATTCTTCGGTCATCCACCACAGTTGTTTTCCGTGGTCTTCCGGGTCTTTTGGTGTTGCTGAGCTCACCGGTGCATTCCTTCTTTTTAAGAATGTTCCAAACAGTTATTTTGGCCACGCCTAATGTTTTTGTTATCTCTCTGATGGGTTTGTTTTGTTTTTTTTCAGCCTAATGATGGCTTGCTTCACTGATAGTGACAGCTCTTTGGATCTCATCTTGAGAGTTGACAGCAACAGATTCCAAATGCAAATAGCATACTTGAAATGAACTCTGGACCTTTTATCTGCTCAATGTAATTGGGATAATGAGGGAATAACACACACCTGGCCATGGAACAGCTGAGAAGCCAATTGTCCCATTACTTTTGGTCCCTTAACAAGTGGGAGGCACATATGCAAACTGTTGTAATTCCTACACCGTTCACCTGATTTGGATGTAAATACCCTCAAATTAAAGCTGACAGTCTGCAGCTAAAGCACATCTTGTTTATTTCATTTCAAATCCATTGTGGTGGTGTATAGAGCCAAAAATGTTAGAATTGTGTTGATGTCCCAATATTTATGGACCTGACTGTGTGTGTGTGTATATATATATGTATATATATATACAGTGGACATTTGAGGGCATATACTACCCCCTATCACAAGATATAAAATCTTTAAAGGATAAGTTCAACTTTTAGTAAAAATAAATGATTTATTCATTTTTTTTAAATACATTTATTCATTTATTATTATTATTGTCTGCAGGAGCATGTAAAGCATTGCACCAGCAATCTGCAGATCGCTGGTGCCATGCAGGTCTCCTGCAGATCTGTCAGAATATCTACTTGCTTGTAAGGGATGTACTAGCAAGCAGATATACTGACAGGAAGAATCAATGAACTACCATGGCGCTCCACAGCAAACATAATACACTTGTGTACAAAAGCAGTTCATGTGCTATTTTATGACTAGAAATTAAAATGTGTTGTCAGATACTTTTATCAATGGAATTGGTATAGACAGAACTATATAGCTATACCAACAACTATACTATACAACTACAGTCATTGCCAAAAATATTGTCACCCCTACATTTTTGTCAGATAATGCACCACTTCGCCCAGAAAATTGTTGCATTTACAAATGTTTAGGCATTCTCTTGTTTCTTTATTTTGGTTGTATTGGTATGACACAAAGTGTAGAAACAAAAAGCCAAATCTGACACATTCCATCCAAAACTCCAGAAATAAACTGGGCAAAATTATTGGAATCTAAATGTAATATTTGGTAGCACACCCCTTGGAGAAATAACTAAAATCAATTGCTTCCTGTAACCATCAATGAGTATCTTACACCTCTAAACTGGAATCTTAGGCCACTTTTCCAAGTCTCTCAGATTGGAAGGGTTCCTTTACCCAGCTGCTGTTTTGGGATCTCTCCACAGGTGCTCTATGGGATTGAGATATGGACTCATTGCTGGCCAGTTCAGTATTCTCCAGTGATTGAAACCATTTCTGGGTGCTTTTTGTCATGTGCTTTGGGTCATTGTCCTGCTATAAGACCCATGACCTCTGACAGAGACCCAGCTTTCTGACACTGGGTCCTACATTGCACCCCAGAATTCTCTGGTAGTCTTCAGATTTTCTAATATCATGCAGACGGTCAAGACATCAAGTGCCTGGAGAAGCAAAGCAACCCAAAATCGTCAGTGAACCTCCACCATCTTTGACTATAGGGACAGTATTCTTTACTTTTATTTTTTTTAAAAGCACTCATTGCTTTTTCTGAAAACCGTAGAATGATGGGCTTTACCAAAAAGCTAAAATTTTGTTTTTTCTGTCTACATCACATTCTCCCAAAAGGATTTTGGCTTCCTTAGGTATGTTTTGGTAAACTCCGCCTCTGCCTTTTTTATGTTTCTATGTCCGCAGTGGGGTCCTCCTGGGTCTCCTACCATAGCGTTCCTTTTCATTCAGATGGAGATGTATAGTGTGAGCTGACACAGTTGTACCTTGTGCCTGAAGGTCAGCTCGAATTTGTCTGGATGTTGATCAAAGTTCTTTATTCACCATTCGAACAAGCCCTGATTGCAATCTTTGATCATTTTCTTTTTCTTTTGTCCATGAAGATTAGTTACAGTGCCGTGGGCTGTAAACTTCTTGACAATGTTGCTCACAGTGGACACAGAAACATATAGATCTCTGGAGATGGACTTGTAACCTTGAGATTGTCCATCCTTTTCCACAAATTTTGTTCTCAAATCCTCAGACAATTATTTGCTTCTCTTTTCTCTGCTCCATGCTCCATGTGACACACAGACAGACAACAGAAAAGTTGAGTCAATGTTTCACCATTTTAACTGGTTGCCCGTGTGATTTCTATATTGTCAGCACCTGCTAAATGTAATTCTCCTGTAATTTGTAAATAAAAGCTCAACTGTAACAAACTTTGAAATAGATTATTTCTTACAGTTTTGAGAAGGTGCCAATAATTTTGTCCAGTCCATTTTTGGAGTCTTGGAAGGAATATGTCAGATTTGGCTTTTTGTTCCCACTTTTTTGTCTCATACCAATACAAACAAAAGGAATAAACATGAGAATGCCTAAACATTTGTAATTGCAACAATTTTCTGGGCGAAGTGGGGAATTGTCTAACAGAAATGCAGGGGTGCCAGTATTTTTGGCCATGACTGTATGTAGCACACGGCTTCAATTTTCTCTCATGGAAATGATATGTTGTTTGTCAGTGTTCTGGAATCCCAGAGTAATATTTGCTAACTTTTATTTTCTCATACAACTGCCATCCAAATTCTTCTAATTCTCAGTGAAGGTGTGAATCTGGTTGGGTTGGGGGGGGGGGGGGGGGCGCGGACAGACCTATAGGTAAATACAGCCAACTGTGATCACTGAACAGGGTTGCTCATGTAAATGAAAATATCTTGTGTTTATGCAATGTGTTACTTTGTTCTTTTGATTGGCTTGTAGTGGCCATATAGTGTATACTGAATGATCAATGTTCAATTTACCAAAATTAGCAAATTTGGACATCCCTGAGCAAGACAAAAATGGCATTGATGAGCAATAAGCAACATAGTGACAGCTTTGATCAACCCAAGTTGATTGCTTGTGACTGCAAAATAAAATGATCATTCAGGGTTGATAGATGGTGTTTTTGTGCCCTTATACATACACGTGGATCAGTAATAGATGATTTGCAAGGATTTGAAAAATACATGAATTGACCCAGTTAGATTTTTTTTTTTTTTTTTCAGCCATGTAATTTTTGTTGTGTTCAATCGGTGTTCAGTTGCTTTGGACATCAACAGTTTTAGCACACGTGTATGGCCTCCATAAGCTTTGAATGTCTGTGAAGGCTCTCATTTATCTGGTAGTAGTCACACTCAGTTGGACCTGTCCTGTAATGTTGAAGATCCAGGCCCTGGTATATCCAGGAGTGGTTAATCGCATTGCAATGAACTTGTTCTATTATGTCAGAGATGTTGTTTTTTAACTTTTGCATGCCACATCTGTAATTTTTGAGGCGTGTCAGAATGGTTCAGTTTTATCGCACCTTGTATGACCACCATAAGCTTTGTATGTCTATGAAAGTTCTCCTTTATCTAGTAGTAGTTATTCACATTGAACTGGACTTGCCCTGTAATGTTGGAGATCTCGGTCATGGTATATTCAGTAGTGGTTAGTTATGTTGAACTGGACTTGTTCTGTAATGTTGGAGATGTTTGTTTTTAACTTCTGCAAGCCACATCTTCAATTCCAAGGATTGTCAGGACGATACACCAAGCATTTATATACACGTAGGGGTTGATTTACTAAAGGCAAATAGACTGTGCACTTTGGAAAGTGCAATTGCACTCTGCAAGGGCAGTTGCTCCTAGCATAGTAAATGAGGTAAAGCTTCCCTTTGCCAAGAATACCCAGTCACATGCAAGGAAAATTAAAAACCGCATTTTTGCCTGCACATGATTGGATGATGGAAGTCAGCAGAGCTTCTGCTCATTTGCTAAGCTCTGGAGCAACTGCATTTGTAGAGTGCACAGACTAATTGCCTTTAGTATATCAACCCCCTTAGCTGGCACTGACACCCTTTATCCAGTCTCCATTTAGTTTATAATGTTAATCATCCAAGAACAGGATGGGAGGTGTGAAAGTTGTAGAATCCCTCTGTTCCAGTTAAACACTTGAATCGTACTATAAAAGCAATTTTCCCTGACTTTATAAAGCACGGATCCCATATGTGGAAATTCTGTCCGGTGTGTGACAGAATAAAAGTGAGGGGTAGTTGCCCCAAGGGGATACAGCATTAAACATTTTTCTAGTAGCGTGGCAAAGGGTTACAACCTCAGTCAGGTATTTATTGCTGTCATGTGGGGGTGCAGGGTTCTTCTCACTTCCTTCCTGTTTCTTATCCTTCCCCACTTATTCTAAAGAAAATATTTGGGCCAGAATTAACCATTATACCATTTTCACTGTAACTACAGTTAGACAACTCTAAACCATCCTTTATTATTTGTTATATCTAATAATACTTCCTCTGAATCAAAATATTAACCCAGTGTTTGACTAATAATGTATTCTTTCTTATTTCCCATCTATGCTGTACATAAGCATTTGATATGAGATCCAGAGGAACAGGTCTGTGTTGCCTGTAGATACCAGAAATGGATGAGCTTGTAGTGCAGGAGATGGAAGAATCTGAAAATAGTTATGTTGCTTGAAGAAACTTGTCCCCTTCTATTTTTCACACTAGGTCTAATGAGGTTTACTTTGTACAAAAATGTTTCACGTCCATTGAAGGTGACTGGTATGCTTTTATTTTGTATTCTTTTGTAGATGAAAATGAAGCTGCAGGGCCCGATGATGATGAAGAGGATATAACAAGGTGAGAATTGTATTCATTTGTTTATAACTAAATTGAACTTTTAAGGGACCCTCACATTAGAGTGGAGCTCTAGAAAAGAATGTTTCGTACAAATGATTGGTGCAGCTAACTTCCAGTGCTCGATGTACTACTCTAGCATAAGTCATTATATATTAATGAGGGGGAGAATAAGTGACCTTATCCTTTATTGTACAAGTGCTGGAACTAACACCAGCGGAGTCACAAGGTCAAAGTTGATGGTAGTGTCTTGAATTAATACAACTAGACTTTTAGGATCCCCAGCAATCTCCCAAACATAGTATAACCAGCATTAAAGTGATTGTAAAGCTTCATTTATTTTTTTTTTTAAATAACAAACATGTCATACTTGCCTGCTCTGTGCAATGGTTTTGCACAGAGTAGCCCCAATCCTCCTTTTCTCAGTCCCCCTGCTGGCTCTCCATGTTCCTCTTCTTCATCCAGTGCCCCCATAGGGGCTCAGGTAAGTATGGGGGGAATGGGAGGATTCCAGTCACAGAAGGATTTTAACCTTTAGCGCACAGAATGCATTAAAGTAAAAATTAAGGCTTTACATCTACTTTTAAAGGTAAATTATCTGAACCAAACAGAGAAAAAAAAAATCCTGGACTTCACTTTAATTATATGTGTTGTCATGTCTTTTGACTTGATAAGCAAAGAGCAGGCACAGTAATTTTAATGAACGAGGAAAGAACAAATAGAGGGCGCACAGGCCTAGTACATTACCATAAAAAATGTTTAATAAGAAATAAAAGTAGGTGTTGTACTCACAAACGACAATAAAGTCAAGGCACATCATAAAAGAACAGCTTGGTCAACACTACGCTGAGTAACAGTCCGCAATAGGGAGTGTAGACATCCAATAGACTGACGCGTTTTGAGGACTTGCCTCTTTCCTCAGTGCCCTGAGGGCAGCAAGGTGTGCATGTTCCAGGACATTCTTAATGTGGTTGTAGCCTGCATCGAGTCCATCCCCAAGCGCAGGAGCATTTCTGTTTGACAGTAATTATAACAACAAACATGCCATTACCTTCTACTCTGCAGTGAAGAAATGTGAACTCTGGTTGTCCTTTGTTAGTGCATTTTGCAATATTAGTTTTTTTCTCTTTGTAAGTTAATTTGTGTAATCCTCCTGTTTTATCACATTCTGTTTTGTTGTGTTTATATTCTTTAGCTCTCATCCAGTAACCAGTGTTGAAGCTGAAACTACTGAAAATGGTGTTGCAAAACCGGTAATGTCCCAATTAACAAGTAATGTTAAGTTTGGTGTTTTCTGGGAAGCAAGCTTGTAGTGATAGTCGTTATGAAAAAAGTACTTGCATAGATGACTGCAGCCTATATGGTGATTGATTGGTTCAAGGAGGGAGTAGCGTTCAAGGTATAGAGCTTGTTCTCCCAAAATTCATACAGGAAGATGCATTGCATTATTGTGCTTTGAAGGACATTCTCACTTGCACTGTGTTCAAAGGAAAAACATAAGGGACACAAATTGCAGTATGAAAGTATTGATGAGAATTGCTCTTATTGGATCATTTTGGGTCCTTAAAGTTTGTTTGGCTGTACATCTACTGTGGATCACAGAAATGCATTTTGTTCTGCACTCTTGTGTCCCGTTTTTCAGCCGTCACAAAACCAGTCCAGGCTGGGGAAAGCTGTATGGTCGAGATCCACCCAGGATCCTGGACCAGCACCTGGCAGAGCCTCTCAGTGATCCGCTGAGCGTCTGAGCCAGCTTCTTCCACCCCCTCCACAGCTCAGCTTTCCAGTGAGCATTGCAGGGGCACAGTAAGTAGACAGCTGTGACTGACACACACCAGCTCTCTACTTACTGAGAACTGAGGGAGTGGTATTTGATCGCTCAGTTCTCAGTCTTAGAGCCAGTGCGAGACACATGCAGCATTGGACCAGTGCTGCATCCACCTAGGTAAGTATGATTTCTTAAAAGAAAAAAAAAAACAAAAACTTCTCTTAATTCTGTGTCATTTTCTGTAACCAAAAAACATACATTCCACATTAATAATTATGCTACCAATATTAGTGTGTGCTGTAAGTTGACTCCAGCATTGCTCCTGGTTGCTTTCTTCCCCCTTCAGCAACTGTAAATCTTAAAGCTGTCAGCTGATCGGCCTCTCGTGGCTTTGATTTTATGCACAGTGCCAAGAGCATGTGAGCATGTAGAGAACAGGGCGAGACAATGCATTAATGGATTTTAAACAGCATAGGCCGTTTTTTTTCATATTTTACATAGCCATACCTGCAAAGCAGGCCAACATAAAGTGATCTATCAGGACTTAATTTTCTGACTATAGTTACACTTTTAAAAACAAAAAGAAATAGGTACATATCAAATAGATACATGATTTCAAAGCTGCAGATCAGTGCTATATCAGGTGTGACTTGGCTGACATCTGTGCGCCTCATTTAAAAAAACAGAGCAGGAACCTTTTTTTTTTTTTTTTTTTTTTTTTTTTTTTTTTTTTCAAATTGGCGTGGCACTGATTTGAATGGTTCCATTGCTGACAATAGGGTGCGACTTGTCATGCAATTTTTAACTGTCAGATCGCAAGTTGCACTGGTGTGAACCAGGGCATAGTCTTACACAGCATTCTATATTGTACAAAGAGAAATGTGTTTAATCTTATTTGTTTTGATAATTGTTCAAGGTGACAGAGACCGAAGATGACAGTGACAGTGATAGTGATGATGATGATGACGATGTTCATGTTACTATTGGAGATATTAAAACAGCACCTCAGTATGGGTAGGTAACACATTACCAACCATTCTAGATAGCTGGTGTTCATTGCAGACATGTGTAGGACATCTGTTCTTATGGCTTTTTTTATGTTTTAGGAGCTATGGTACTGCCCCTGTTAACTTGAACATTAAAACTGGAGGTAGAATTTATGGACCAGCCGGTAAGCTATTTTCAAGGATTAAAAATTGTATATGAAAGTTGTGGTGTGCTCTGTGTGACGTTTTTTTTCTTGTTGGTTCTCTGTAACGTACAGAAGGGATGTTACAATAGTTGTCGTCTGCTGATATCTATACATCTGCCTGATCGTTTCTACAGTGTATATTTTTTCTTTCTTTTTCTATGCAGCCATCAGTGGGTGCTTAACGTTTTTGCTATTTTTATTTATTTCTATTTAAAAAAACATTTTTAATTTTTTTTTTTTTTAGAACTTTATTACTAAAACAACCCCCCGTTTGATAGCATTGGGCAACTGAACAATTGAAAGGTCTTTTTTATTTTTTTTCAGGGTCTTTTGTGCCCACAAAGTCTCCCCGTCCTCTGCTACAGCCAACCAAGCACAGGACTGTGATCCATATGCTTTTTACCTGGCTTTCTAGCCAGTATTCTGACAGCTCTGAATTGGAAGCACTAAGCACACTCCTGTGGAGGAGACTAGAGAATGGATGTTCCCTGAGCTCTTGCCACTCATCATCCAGTCGTTATTTATTGTGCTGCTGCATGGAATTATGGCAGCCATGATCCTTGTAGGATCGGTTTTACAGTACAGAACTAAGTCAGCTAATAAAAAACAGAAACAAGCTCTAGGCTGTCACTGCAGACATCAGTTTTTTAACTTCTTCACTTTGGATGTGCCAGTAAACTAGTTCAAGAGCAATTTGATTCAGAACTAATATTTCCCTTTTTTGTTGGTGCTGGAGAATCAAACATCTGAGAGTTTCTTATACCTCTCAAGAAGTTTATGTGCTTGAGTTCCAAAGTGTGCACTCGTGATGTGGCCGTTATGGGGGTTCCCCTTGTCCTTTATGGTTTTCTTTATTTTATGTTATAGTGAATGCAAAAGAAGGAGCTGAAAAACCCCCAAACTTCCAGCTAAAGTTCTAAGGGAGTTCTCACTGTCGCAATTCATTGTCTGAATCATCACATCAGGCTCCACCTAACCAAAATAGCACTTTGAGTGGATTGACCCTTAAGACTGTATATTAATATTTTTATATAAGCCTATACTAGATTGGTTTTTTTAAAGTTTCTGTCATGGATGATGCCTGTCATAGGAATTTTTAATCCTAATGTCCTGCTCGTTTAACTACTAGTGAAAAATACACAGGAAAGTAGATTCTAGTGTTTCCTACTAGCACTTACCCTTCTCTCCTCTTTCTACTTTTGCATGGAAACTTCTGTAACCTCTCAACTCTCTTCAACCTCTTCTCACAATGTCTATTATACAGCCAGATGTAAAAACATCTTTTTTTAAACTTTCTCAGTTACAAAACCTGAAGTTTACGTCTAATGACCTTGTTAGCTTATCTCTGAAAATCTTGCTTTCATTACAAAGAACACGGAAGAACATTAACTGAAGAAAGTTCCCCGTTTTAGCTCAATTGCAGTATTTACTTGACAGTATTTGTTTCTTTCTGTGTTTTTTTTTTTTTTTTTGTTTTTTTTTTTTTTTTTTTCCCACTAGCTGCCTGACATTAATTTTTGACCAAATAAAGTCATTGTAAAGGCTGAAGGTTTGTAAAAAAACCTTTTTGTGTGCAGCAGTGCCCCCAGCTCCCTCAATACTTACCTGAGCCTCGTCGTGATCCAGCTATGTGAATGACAGCCTCAGCTTTCCTAGGTCTCTGCTTCTTCATTGGCTGATACAGCAAATTGGCTCCCGCTGCTGTTAATCATAGCCAGTCAGTGAGTGAGGAGAGAGAAGGGGTGGGGCCAAGCCACTGCTCCGTGTGTGAATGGACACACGGAGCAGTGGTTGCCCCCATAGCAAGCTGCTTGCTGTGGGGGCACCCTACAAACAGGAGGTGCCAGAGAGCCTGCGGGGGACCTGAGGAGGATCCAGGCTGCTCTGTGCAAAACCACTGTACACAGCAGATAAGTATAGACATGCTTGTTATTTTACAAATAAAAAGAACCTTTAGAATCTTCCACTCACACTGTAAAAAAATAAGTCAGCAGCTACAAAAACTGTAGCTGCTGACTTTTAAAAAAAAACAGCCACTCACCTGTCTCACGATCCTATGGTGTCCTCCCCGCAGCCTGTTTCACCGGCCGTCCTGTGTTCCAGGTGTCGGCATCTTCAGTGTGGGCTGTGACAGTTTGCGGCTTCACAGCCGGGGGGCCACTGCGCATGCGCGAGTAGCGCTGCGCTTCCTGAATGGCCCCATCGTCTTCTGTGACCTCTCGTGTCCCAGAAGACTACAGGGAGGGAGGGTAGGAGGACAACTTCCGATCAGCTAGGTGATCACAGCGGAAGTGGGAGCGGGTACCTGCCAATTTCGGGTACCCGCTCCCTGAAGGTGCCAATCCTTAATGGGGAGTGGGGGACCAATGTTTAAAGATGAACTTCCCCTTTTTGTTTGGAGCTCCGCTTTAAGGACCGCTCACTGTACTTTTACTGTGGGCGGCCCTTCTATACTGGATCCAGCATTTACGGGTATATGGGGCGTGGGACCCCACCCGATCTGTGCTGTTATTCAGTACAGCACAAGTCAGTCAGCAAGTCCCGCCAATGATTTATGGTCGCGGCCTGGTGATCGTCTTAGCCAGTCACAGCCCAGAGCCCTGCGTTTACTAACAACACACGGCTCTGTACAGAAAGCAGCAATGTGGCTGTTTTTTCTCTCTGAAAGCAGGGAGAAAAAAACAGCCACATCTATTCCTAAAAGCAGCACATATTACATATTGTTAGGTACACAGTTAACCCTTTGGTTGCCCCTAGATGTTAACCCCTTCCCAACCAGTGTCAGTACAATGACAGTGTACGGTATTGGCCATGGTTATTAGTGTCACTATTGATATCAGTGTCAGTCAGTGTCCCTCCCAGTCATCATCAGCTAGCGCCATATTGCCTGCCATAGTAACACAGTCCCATTATAAGTTACTGATCACCGCCATTACCATTATAGCATCAGAGCTGCTTAAATTCCAGTATATATACCATGTAGACACTAAACCTACAGACCTCAGACGCTATCACACAGACCAATTAATATACACTTATTGGGATTTTTATTTTACCAGACATATAGCAGAATACACTTTGGCATAAAATTATGAAGAATTTTTTTTTTCATTGGATATGTTTTATAACAGTAGAAAGTATTTTTTTTAAGATTTTAGGTCATTTTGCATTTATATAATAAAAAGTAAAATACCCAGTGGTGAACAAATACCACCAAAAGAAAGCTCTATTTGTGTGAAAAAAAATTATATAAATTTCATTTGTGTACAGTGTTGCATGATCACACAATTGCCAGTTAAAGTAGCACAGTGCTGAATAGAAAAAAATGGCCTGGTCATGAAGGGGGTAAAACCTTCTGGAGCTTTAGTGGTTAAGGTGGAAATGCCAGTATCCAGAAATGTAACTCCTGTTTCCTTTTATGTACATACTGTTAAAAAAAGAAAATGTACTGCAGTGTTTTTCCCACCTAATGCTGTGAATTAAGGTAAAATGTATAGCCTTTAGTGCCACTTTGATGTGTTTCATTTACAAAATATGTTTGCAAAAATACAACATTGTAGATTCAACTGTGTAGGCAGGTAGAATTTATTAAATATATTAGACTGTTTTGTTTTCTGTTTTGTAGGTGGGAAGGTCAAAGGAGTAGATTTGGATGCCCCAGGCAGTATTAATGGTGTTCCTCTAGTGGAGGTGGACTTGGATTCCTTTGAGGACAAGCCTTGGAGAAAACCAGGTAATGATCTATTGTTGTATGTGGCCATGCTTATGCTTGTTTACAAATTTCTGTAGTTGTGTGTAGTCGTAACAGACATTTTTTTTTTTATTCACTATGATTTAGTTGGACTTCATTTGTTTTACGTTTTTGATTATAGTTATTTTTGAGAATGGGGCTACTAAAATTACTTGAAATACATTGCACACCACCTAACTAGCACGTCATCTACAGAAGGGTTTATTTACTAACACTGAAGAGTCCAAAATCGGGCTCACTTCTGCATAGAAACCAATCAGCTTCTAATCTCAGCTTGCTTAATTAAGCTTTGGTAATAAAACCTGGAAGCTGATTGGTTTCTATGCAGAAGTGAGCCTGATTTTGCACCCTCCAGCTTTAGTGAATAAACCCCATGGTGTCCACAGATGATACTGATAAAACATCACCCTCTGCTCATCATTCTTGTAAATCCATTACCCCCTTTTTTTTTTTTACCTCTATCTCACCACTCTTATTCAGGGAAACAGGGTTGACTCTAAATCAGTGTTTCTCAACCTTTTTGCCTTCGAGGAACCCCTGGCAAAATCAGGGAACCCCTGAAATGATTTTCAGATCTACAGCTCACGGAACATCGGTGTGATCAGCAAGCTGTTGATATAACAATGATTATTTTTAGAAATAGCATGAAATTTGGGCTGTTTTTTTTTTCTGCACAGATGCTTTGGTCGAATTTGGGATATGCACACATGAATTTCAACAAACTAAACAAGGGTGTCACCAGGGCAGGGCACAGAGGGGGGGTCACCAGGTCAGGGCACAGGGTAGTCGTCACTAGGTCAGGGCATGGGGGGAGTGTCACCAAGTATAAAGCACAGGGGAGTCACCAGGTCAGGGGGCACAGGGGGAGTGTCACCAGGTCAGGGCATGGGGGGGGCAACCAGGGCACGGATGGGGGGTCACCAGGTTAGGGCACAAGGAAGGTCGCCAGGTCAGTTCATGGGGAGAGTGTCACCAGGTCAGGGAACGGGGGGTCCACCAGGTATAAAGCACGGAGGAATCATCAGGTCAGGGCACAGGGGTGTCACCAGGGCAGAGCATAGGGGAGTCACCAGGGCAGGGCACACGGGAGTCACCAGGTCAGGGGGAAGTCCCCAGGGCAGGGCACGGGGGGGGGGTCATCAGGGCAGGGCACGGGGGGGGGGGGTTACCAGGTCAGGGCACAGGGTTGTCGTCACTAGGTCAGGGCATGGGGGGAGTGTCACCAGGTATAAAGCACAGGGGAGTCACCAGGTCAGGGGGCACAGGGGGAGTGTCACCAGTCACCAGATCAGGGCACAGGGTCGTCGTCACTAGGTCAGGGCATGGGGGGAGTGTCACCAGGTATAAAGCACAGGGGAGTCACCAGGTCAGGGGGCACAGGGGGAGTGTCACCAGGTCAGGGCATGGGGGGGGGGGCTACCAGGGCACAGATGGGGGGGTCACCAGGTTAGGGCACAAGGAAGGTCGCCAGGTCAGTTCATGGGGAGAGTGTCACCAGGTCAGGGAACGGGGGGTCCACCAGGTATAAAGCACGGAGGAATCATCAGGTCAGGGCACAGGGGTGTCACCAGGGCAGAGCACAGGGGAGTCACCAGGTCAGGGGGCACTGGGGGAGTGTCACCAGATCAGGGCACAGGGTAGTCGTCACTAGGTCAGGGCATGGGGGGAGTGTCACCAAGTATGAAGCACAGGGGAGTCACCAGGTCAGAAAGCACAGGGGGAGTGTCACCAGGTCAGGGCATGGGGGGGCAACCAGGGCACGGATGGGGGGTCACCAGGTTAGGGCAGAAGGAAGGTCGCCAGGTCAGTTCATGGGGAGAGTGTCACCAGGTCAGGGAACGGGGGGTCCACCAGGTATAAAGCACGAGGAATCATCAGGTCAGGGCACAGGGGTGTCACCAGGGCAGAGCATAGGGGAGTCACCAGGTCAGGGGGAAGTCACCAGGTCAGGGCACAGGGTTGTCGTCACTAGGTCAGGGCATGGGGGGAGTGTCACCAAGTATAAAGCACAGGGGAGTCACCAGGTCAGGGGGGCACAGGGGGAGTGTCACCAGATCAGGGCATGGGGGGGGACCCAGGGCACGGATGGGGGGTCACCAGGTTAGGGCACAAGGAGGGTCACCAGGTCAGTTCATGGGGAGAGTGTCACCAGGTCAGGGCACGGGGGGGGTCCACCAGGTATAAAGCACGGAGGAATCATCAGGTCAGGGCAGAGGGGTGTCACCAGGGCAGAGCATAGGGGAGTCACCAGGTCAAGGGGAAGTCACCAGGGCAGGGCACGGGGGGGTTACCAGGTCAGGGCACAGGGTTGTCACTAGGTCAGGGCATGGGGGGAGTGTCACCAAGTATAAAGCACAGGGGAGTCACCAGGTCAGGGGGCACGGGGAGTGTCACCAGATCAGGGCATGGGGGGGACCCAGGGCATGGATGGGGGGTCACCAGGTTAGGGCACAAGGAGGGTCACCAGGTCAGTTCATGGGGAGAGTGTCACCAGGTCAGGGCACGGGGGGGGTCCACCAGGTATAAAGCATGGAGGAATCATCAGGTCAGGGCACAGGGGTGTCACCAGGTCAGGGCACAGCAGAGTCGTCAGGGCATTGGGGGGGGGGGATCCACCAGGTCAGGGTGCAGAGGGGTCACCAGGGAAGGGAGCAAGGGTATCAACAGGGCAGAGCACGGAAGGAGGGTTACCAGATCAGGGCACAGGGGGTCTGTTGTAGTACTGTTTAGTTTCTTCCTCATTCAGAGCTGCTGAGGGCAGTTGCTGGTACATGACGGTTTTAGTACGCTGATCATTCCTGGTGGTGTCAAGTGCCTGGGATGGACAGAAGAGGTGAGTTGGTGGGGATCAGTGGAGTTCAGTTAGGGTTAGCTGCTGATGAGGTAGGAAAACATACGCTCTCCTTTTGTCCTTATCTGCCCTCTGCAGTGATGTCACAGACAGCAGTGCTCACTGTCAGTGCACATTGAATTCACCATTGGGCGGATATACATCCGCCACAATGGTGAATTTGCGGCGGAACCCTGTTTTAGAAACACTGTTCTAGATGCCAAGAACCCACCCAGAAGCTACAAGGGAAACATGTAAATCTACTGGGGATTCTCCCTATAAGTTGTCCAGAAGGGAATGAATTGATATATAATGTCCAATGTGAAGGGGAACCTATGAGAATGGGAGTATGAGTTTTGTGCCCATTACCATTGCCTCCCTTTTATAACAAATCATTGACCCAGCACAAGTGTGTAGGTCAAGAATTCTTAGTTAATTGTCTGTATCAGGACACTCAGACATTAAAGATTAATTTTGGTCAAAGCTTGTTAGGGTACACATACAGTAGTCAAAATCTCACGGAGGTTCTAACATTTTCTAAATGGCCACAAAAGTGAAGATAGCAACCCTTTTAAACCCGTTTTAATAGAGTCTTCTAAGCAAAGTAACCATGTTTAATGGTGGAATTAGCAAATTAGACTCTGTTTTTGGTAAATGTTGTGTTTTTTTTTTTCCTTCCAACTTTAGGTGCTGACCTTTCAGATTACTTCAATTATGGTTTTAATGAAGACACTTGGAAGGCGTACTGTGAAAAACAGAAGCGAAGAGACTACGGATGGGCCTAGAAGCGCTCCCAGTCTCTTCAACTACAAATAAAATTACAGTATGTTTGAATAAATCAGGGGAATATATTTATAGCATTTTTTTTCTCCAGCTGCAACATTCCAATACTGAAATCCTAGCAAGAATAATAATAGAATGTCAACAAGCCATCAACATTAATGTTCTTTTATGTTGAACACAAAGCTGGTCACAAGATGTTGGTGTTTTATAATGGCAGTTGTTAAAAAATTAGAGATGTGCAATTATCTGAAAGAGGCCATTATGTACGGACCCTTAGGCACTATACTGAAAGTAACATTGTCTTCGCTTTGGAGAGTCTGGTCAGTTGTGTATGGCAGCCAATCAGCTTCTAACTTCAGTTTTTGTTTGTATGTATGTATATAAAATTCTTATTTATTTTTTGTAATATTGACGTACTCAGGTAGCCAATGAGACATGGGTGCATATGACATGTAAAACCTCCATTTAAATCTCTCAGCGTTATATTAAAAACAATAAGATAACATTTAAAAGGTGGCTTGCTGCTCCTTCACACTGCCAAACTCTGGATGCCGGAGGCAAACGGAGTCCTCCACACTCACAAACTCCTTGGAAGGAAAAGGAACTGCCCCACTCTGGAAAGATCAATGACCACATTGCAATGACTGTCCCCGCCCTAGCACTCACCCCCTACCGCACTTCACTCTAGAAGGCTCAATAGACAGACAGACATCTACTCTATATACAGTACATCAGCTAACCAGCAACAGGATCACTAAATAGAACACTTATGTTTGTTGCACCCACATGGGTTGAATGAAACAATACACGATTTTGCTTATCTGCGGGGGGAGCAATGTCTCACGTGTGTGGTCCGCATAGGCATGCTGCCATAAAAGCAAGTAATAAAAAACATGCTCTCTACATGTATAATTACTGAACAAAAAAGTATCCTGTATATTGAAAAATTCCTACGTAATACAATACAAGACTTAAAAATATGACATCAATATAAGTGATATCTTCACATGCGCTTGTGATAAGATTGTTCCACAGATATGTACGGTCTCTTAGGGGGAGATTTACTAAAATTGGTGCACTCAGAATCTGGTGCTGCTGTGCATGGTAGCCAATCGGCTTCTAACTTCAGCTTGTTCAATTAAGCTTTGACTATAAAACCTGAAAGCTGATTGGTTTCTATGTACAGCTGCACCGGGTTTTGTGTTAACCAGTTAACCAGTTTTAGTAAATCCCCACCACCACCACTAGTGACTCTTCCTTGTGACTCCTACCCAATTCTTCACATATTGGATCGTGATCACCTTTGTGTCCGCCATTTACCCTAACTGCTCACCTTCGTTTATTTTTTATAACCTATAAATAATAGGTCAAATTTCATTTTCCTCTTTAAGAAGGGGGATCATTCACTTCCACTCTGTCTTCAGCCTTCTGGTGGTGTCTCACATCTGTTCTCCTTGCTTTCCTCCACTTCAGGTACTAATATTCTTAGATCCCGTGTTGTATGAGTGAGCCCCCATTCTCACCAATGCGATTTGACAGTTCAAAATCGCATGACAATTCATATCCGATTTGTGCCTATGGAACCGTTCAAATTGTTGTGACTCTGACATCACTTTTGAAAAAGGTTCCTGCTTAGTTGTTGGTGATTTCTTGTGTTACTTGCAATGACATCTATGCATGAAATTGCACCGATGTCAGCAAGCCGCACATGAAATCGCACTGACCAGCATCTAATCTAATGTTGCACCTCCCAGGTGGGTTGGTAATGAGTTTTCTGCTGAAGTACCGCGATTTCAAAGCCGCATTTGGTGTGAATCAGGGCTGAGTATCAAGCTGCTTTTGCATTCATCAATGCAGCATGTAAACAAGCAGGTTAGAGCTTGCTTAGATCTCTTTTCTGCTGGTCTTGTAGTAGATCTGATGCAATCGCTTCTAAGCCCTGGTTCATATCTGTGCGATTTGACAGGTCAAAACCGCATGCCAAGTCGCACCCCATTTGCGGCAATGGAACTGTTCAAATTATTGCGACTTTGGAAAAGGTTCCTGCACTGTTTGTGTGATTTCATTGCGACTTGCATTAACATCTGTTTAATAATGTCGCAAGCCTCAATGAATCGCACATTAAAATTGCATTAGTCATTGGCCTTTAAATCACGCTGAAGTAGTGCAACTTCAAAGCTACACTGGTGTGAACCAGGGCTAAATGCTATGGAAGATGCAAGATTTTCCCTGTGAAGAATGTACTTAAAAGCGTTCAGCCCTGAGCACTTTATGGTTCAGGGGTTTTGACTCTTCCCCACTATCCAAAAGACAAAATATTTTTGCTGGACTTCAACTGTAAATCCAAACTAAAGTTTTTTTTTTTTTGTTTTTTTGGGAAATGCTGAAGACAAAATTCTTGTGCAGCCAAAAATGAATCAGCAGATCTTACTTTTAGAATTCAGTGCTGTGTTCTGTGTGAGAACAGCAGTCTCTGCAGAGGTCCAACTCACCCTTTACCCTGTCACTGCTACATCAATACAATCAATAACTCGACAAGCTCATGTTTCATGACATTTTACATTTATAGATATTTCTAGAACAATTTTGATTGCACATTGATTTTATCTTTAGCCATTCCAACTTATTGCTTGAGAATACACAAGCATTTGTGTTTTTAATGTTGGTTAGTGAAGCATTTTTGGATGATTTGGAATGCAGGGTTTGATGTGAACTTTTAGGGAGCAGAGCAGATTTGACTTTGTTGTTGCTTCGCCTTCATTCCCTCCATACATAGGTAATTTGAATGCATCTTAAATATATTTCATACAGAGAACTAGTGCTAAGATTAATTTGTACGTAAATTTAAAGCCTGTGCACACAGAACTGTTTTGAGAGAACTGTGCAAGCTTCCACTTTTCTTTTGATGTCTTCTGCTGAACATGCTAGTTCCCTGGCTGTGGTGCTGATCTAGTGGCTTAAAAAATTGTTCAATTTTTTTAAACTAGTACAAATATGATGATCATTTGTTACCGTCTTTATGAGGACAATTTCTTAAAGGAAAAGTATAGGCAAAGATGTTTTGGATATACGTCCCCTATGGGTCACAGGAGTGCACTTCATTCTGCACTCCTTTGCCTCAATTTCAGCCAACAGCAGACTAAAGTCCACAGTCGGCTGACATCACTCAGCCTGTCCAGACTCAGGAAAGATCATGACTTTAAAGGTTGGATCCACCTATATGCCTGGACAGGCAGTTGGCTCAGTCTCTCAGCAAGCCTGAGCCATCCACTCCCGCCCTCTCCACAGCCTGAAGCTCCAATGGGTGCTGGAGGAGCGGAGCAGAGAGCCGGTGACTGACAGCCACCATCTCTCTGCTCAGTTAAGACCAAGAACTGAGTGATCGGCGGTCATTGATCGCTTAGTTCTCGGTCTTAGAGATGACGCGGGTCAGAGATAGACACACAGCAGCGGCTCGGCCCCACCCCCTCGCTCTCTCCTTATTGCAGGGGTGTCAAACTGGCGGCCCTCCAGCTGTTGAGAAACTACAAGTCCGATCATGCCTCTGCCTTTGGGAGTCATGCTTGTAACTGTCGATCTTGCAATGCCTCATGGGACTTGTAGTTTGACAACAGCTGGAGGGCTGCCAGTTTGACACCTGTGCCTTATTGGCTCACTGGCTGTGATTGACAGCAGCGAGAGCCCATTGGCTGTCTCAGCCAATGAGGAGGAAGAGTTCAAAGACAGCAGAAGCTGTCGAGAACATTGCTGGATCGGAGGGGGCTCAGGTAATTGTTGGGAGGGCCACTGCAAACAGAAGATTTTTTTACTTTCATGCAAAGAATACTTGAAGGTAAAAAACCTTGACCCTTTAGAACCACTTTAAGGTGACAATGTTCACTGACTGCATCGTATCTATGGAGGAACAACCTGTCACCGTAGACTGCTCTCCTGAATTGAACTACAAACACCCCTATGCCTCTATTACATAAGAAAAGTTGCTTTGTAGTTTAGAGTAAACAGCGGATTTCACTTCATTGCACAGGAAACTACAAAAACACTAGAATTCTTTGCCTTTAATTATACTTGAAAGCTAAAGGGCATTCATTATTTTTGGAAACAAAAAAGAAAATTAGCCGTCTTCCATCTAATTGCCTCTGTTTAGGTCGGAAAACGGCTACTTTTACCACTCTTAACCTTTAAGCTGTATGTCTTTAAAACAGGTGACTTCTCAGTAATGCAATATCATTATATACAGCAATGCTGGTAAGGCAGCTTTCTGCCTAATGAATGTAATTTTATCAGGTGGTTATATTTTTTTTTATGTTGTATTTTTTGCCATTTGGAAGGGCTCCTTTTTTCAAATTCCTGTAAAATGATTTTGTGTTGTATATTCTAAATGAAATGTAATACATTGATAGTAATTTGTATCTCTTATTTGGATGTATTCACAGAAATTGCCTTCTGTGTGGTCACATTGCTGTGATCTTCTTCTTTGGTTCTAGTTCTTTTTTGTATAATTTTTTTCCTTTTTTGTACAAACAGGTACAGCAGGGCAGAACTGGAAACTCAGAGAAAGAGACTGTGTTACAGACGACAAAGCCAGAGTTCACATCCCCCACAACGTTATTTAAATCTAATGTTGCACCTCCCAGGTGGGTTGGTAATGAGTTTCTATATCCAAACAACATAAGTAACCAGGTTTCAGCTTTACCCATTTCATGGATGTGAAACAGTTTTTTTACTGCAGTAAAATCCACAGACTAATAGAAATCTATAGTTTTGTTGTAAGGATATTCCATTACTGTGCTGCACTGAAGTACTGTGGGAGATTGCATTCACAGTTGTTGTTAACTCCTGTTGATGAGCCTGGGTTCATTATGTAGTAATGTCTCAGCAATTGCTGTTGCCATAAAATTAGCAAGCTTAATTTACTTTTTACCATATGTCAAAATAGATGGCTTTACCCAATCTGATGCTGATTCCAGCACCCAGGACGGAGTGATTGCATATGCCACTTCTTTGACATGATTTTGGAAGACAAATGTGTTTATTTTTAGAGTTTTGTAATGCCTAATACAGTATTCAAATTGTTGCAGTGTCTTTTCCATGAGTTCACATTAGAAGTGTCATTCCTTTGTGCGCATTTCTGGCTTGTGTTCAGTAGCCATTGCTTATATATACTTATATACTGTGTCTGTGCTAGATTTTGTTTTCAAATTACGACTCTGACAACCTTTTTGTTTTTTTTTGTTTTTTTTTTTACACTCCAGCTTCCTGAAAAGTATATGTACAAGCAGGCTGGAGGTCATCCTGTAGTTAAGGGGCGTCTGTGTATCATGATTGTATCAAACGAAATAGACAATATACTGTTTTATAAAGAAAAATACATTGTTATTGAATGTACCTGCTTGAGATCATCACATACATATGTTGAAGAGCCCCACTCTGCTGAAACAGCAGCCTCAACAAGTGATGATCTGATGGATATTTCATGAGGCACGATTTTATCCCTCTCATAAGGAACACATGGTGAACAGAGCAGGGTGGCGCCTCTTTTATCCAGATGTTCAATGGGGTGTTTTAAACCTAAACACACTTGATCAGTTGCTTACAATACATTGTGATGTCCATGTGTGATTGGTGCTTGATTAGACACAAAAGAACACTGCATAGATGTGAATGAGTCTCATTACAATTACAAAAACTATCCTTTGTTATTAAAAAAAAAAAAAAAAACTTGTTATACCACCTGCTCTGAGCAGCTCTGATCCTCCTTCTGATCCTCCCTACATTTTTGTTTTTTGTTTTTTAATAGACAGGGACATGTCTGTGATTTGAAGAATGTGTATATGTATCCCTGAGGTGATTGTAGCCATATTAGTGCACTTGCGACAGAAACAATTGAGTACTGATGTGATACTTTTTTTTATTTGCACTACCATACAATTTTGAGGACAAGCTTTCCTGGTATGTTCTCTTCAAGGTCCAGGCAGTACTCAAAATTGTATGTTAGTGCAAATAAAAAAAAGTATCACATCAGTAATCAATTGTTTATATATGTATCCCTGAATTATTCTGAAGAATTATTGTTAATTTGTGCACAGAGTATTTTTCATGAGTGAATCTACGTATCAGCTTTCAACAATTTATTTGGATTAATCATTACACCTTATATATTATATGCAGTATTTTTCTTAAATAATTTTTTACTCTTAATTTACAGTAGAAAACTCTCAGGTACAATTGATGTTATTGGACAAACAACCACCATCACACGTGTTGAAGGGCGGCGGCGAGGTGCTAATGAAAGCAATATCCAGGTGTGTGCATCATGTGGTTCCTTGTTTAATTTTTTTTCTCTTTTTTTTTTGGCCTCGTCCCTATTTTTCTAAGCGGAAATTATCTAGTCAGTTGATCGAGGACATTAAACTAACCAATTATGTTCTAAACTGATTGTGATGATTTACCGACAATGTAGTGCAAGGACCTACAGCTGGGTGTACACTAGTAAAATTGCGAACAAAAAATTTATACACAATTTCTTAGGAAAAAATTCCCAGTACCTTTTGAACGTTCAAAAATAGTTCAAGGTTTAATTTGCTTTTAACATTTGATTTTGGAATGAATGGGCTTTACTGAATAACAGCATACACTATTAGAAATTCATACTTTTGACAATTTTTTTCGTCCTACGTCTTCAATTTATTTTTTTTGTCATTGCTCTCGAAAACAAATACCGTATTTTCCGGCGTATAAGACGACTGGGCGTATAAGACGACCCCCTACTTTTCCTGTTAAAATGTAGTGTTTGGGCTATACTCGCCGTATAAGTCTACCCCTCTTCCAATGCACACCAGTTGGAAGAATCGTGCCCCATCATTGGTGTCAGTGGGAGGAATAGTGCCCCATCATTGGTATTCGTGAGAGGAATAGTCCCCCATCATTGGTATTAGTGGGAGGAATAGTGCCCCATCATTGGTATTAGTGGGAGGAATAGTGCCCCATCATTGGTATTAGTGGGAGGAATAGTGCCCCATCATTGGTATCAGTGGCAGGAATAGTGCCCCATCATTAGTATCAGTGGGGGGAATAGTGCCCCATCTTTGGTGTCAGTGGGAGGAATCGTGCCCCATCATTGGTGTCAGTGGGAGGAATAGTATCCCAACATTGGTGTCAGTGGGAGGAATAGTATCCCATCATTGGTGTCAGTGGGGGGTGGAGGAATAGTGCCCCATCATTGGTGTCAGTGGGGATGGGAGGAATAGTGCCCCATCATTGGTGTCAGTGGGGGGGGGGAGAATAGTGCCCCATCATTGGTGTCAGTGGGGGGGGGGGGGGGAATAGTGCCCCATCGTTGGTGTCAGTGGGGGGGAGGAAAAGTGCCCCATCGTTGGTGTCAGTGGGAGGAATAGTATCCCATCATTGGTGTCAGTGGGGGGTGGAGGAATAGTGCCCCATCATTGGTGTCAGTGGGGATGGGAGGAATAGTGCTCCATCATTGGTGTCAGTGGGGGGGGGGAATAGTGCCCCATCATTGGTGTGTCAGTGGGGGGGGGGGGATAGTGCCCCATCGTTGGTGTCAGTGGGGGGGAGGAAAAGTGCCCCATCGTTGGTGTCAGTGGGAGGAATAATGCCCCAATGATGGGGCACTGTTCCTCCCACTGACACCAATGACACTTGCTGACCCCTGTTCCAGTATGGTGCTGCTGCAGCCAGCATATGTGGTTGCAGCAGCACCTCTGTACGGCACACTTTCCTGGCCGCTCCTTCACTCAATTTTCGCAGGGCCGCTCGGCTCCGCCTCTCTGGCCGGTGATTGGCCGCCTGTGTGCCTGGCGGCCAATCACCGGTGAGGAGGCGGAGCCGAGCAGCTGCGTGAACATCCAGTAGCTGAACCGAATGAAGGAGCAGCCGCGCTTCCTGGACCAGATCGTCGTGGGACCAGAGCCAGGTAAGAAACAGCAGCCCCTGCCCACCCCTGTACTTAGTGTCCCTAAAAAGTGTCAGCATGCCGTATACCTGCGTATAAGACGACTCCCGACTTTTGAGAAGATTTTCAAGGGGTAAAAAGTCGTCTTATATGCCGGAAAATACGGTATATGATTAGAAAAATTAACATTCTTAAAATCAATAATAGTGAATTAAATTCTACTAGTTTATACCCAGCTTTACTGACTGGATATAAACTGGGCTGTTTTGGTCAGTCGAATCACTGTAATTATTGGTAGGTCTAGAGGAGATTTTGCAGTGTTTGCACAGGGGCCAGGCCAGGTGTGATGAACCCATTTTCCCAAAGCCTCTTGACTTACTCCTTGTGCAAGAAATCTAAGTATTTTTTTTTTTTTTTTTTTTTTTTTTTTTTAGGAGGGGTCTTACTTTTCTAAATTTTCATTCTTTTTCAGACTAAATATAGTCAGTTTTATCATTGACTTCAGGTTTTCGGTGCAAATAGACATACTTTTTTTGTACATGATGAAAGCTTTGGCATATTATTTTAAAGTATGTGTTTTGCTTTGATCTAAATCAAATAAATATTGGGTTATTTTTTATTATCTGCATTTGTTTTGTAAATTTAGGGGTAATTTGTAAAATGGCTTACGCACTTCTGCCTTGTAGCACTGGGGGTCTCTCATCGAGTCCTGTCCAAGACACTGTTTGCATGGAGTTTACATGTCTCTTGTGTAGGTTACTTCTGAGTACTCCTACCCTCCAATGACATGCTGGTGGGTTAATTGGCTCCTGTCGGAATTGGTCCTAGTATGTGTGTGCATGTATCTCTATGCATGTGAAATAGGTACCTTAGCCTCCTTGAGGGCAGAAATTGATTTGAATGTACAGCATGTAAAACACTGTGTAAACTGTCCACTATAAAAATGCCTAAAATAGCAATAATAAATATGTTATAAATTTTTTTCTGTGAAATACCGTACATGCAATCTTTACAATTTTTTGCTAATGATAGAATATCTGTACTGATGGATTTCCATACAAAAAGCGTATTTTATAGTTAAAATGCAATAATAAAAATCTAAAATTTCCGTTCCTATAAGGGTTGTGTGAACAGTCCTCTTTGGCAAAAACCCATATCTGAGGCTTTGAATTTTATCTTTCCACATCACAGGAAACGTTTTAAGGGAATCCGTTATATAGGCAATGTCCACACTGTTGTAGCTATTCTTAGCTTGACAAGTAAAGAAGCTATTTAGAAAAATATGTTTAGGAAAACACTATGAGCAATGTGAAGGTTGCCTAAAATGATCAGTTTCTTTTATTTTCATAAAACATAACATTTGACTGGTCAACATATTCTCATCTTTTTGTTTCTTTTGTTTTTGAGTTTTGTGTTCTCATTTTTAAGAATCCCCAGAAAGAGTTGGGTGAAATATTTCTGATATAAGAATTGTTATGGAGACTCCCCTCCTGGTTGAGTGCCTGGCTAGGTAGGCCCATGTGCTAGATGTAACTACCCCCTTTAGGTTTTTCTAGCTTTTAAAAGCTTCACTAAGTGGGCCACCTACATTGTTTAGTGCACATGCATGGAACAGTTTTACTTTGTTCAGGTCACTTGAAGACTAAGCCCAGTCTGATGTTGAAAGAGTCGCTGACTGTCATAAATTAGTCTTATTATTCCTTAAAGGATATGTTCACCTTTTGGAATATGTTACATGTTCCCACTTCTGCAGCCGCTGCCTCTAGTGACATCAAGTGGGGATCTTCTCCCCCCGCTCTGTCACTATTTTTAGCTTTCTGGTAGTTCATTGTCTCTTCCTGTCAGTGTGTATCTGCCTATCCATACAAGGTACGAGCAGACAGGTACACTGACATGTCTGCAGGAGTCCTGCATTGCAGTGCTTTACAGGATCCAAATAAAATAATGCTGATTTTTTTTTTTTCCTACCTGCAAAATTATGTGAAAGGTGAAATGGTGAACGTATCCTTTAATAGTTTTGATGGTCAAACGAGAGCTGTGGCAGCTTCTTCTGCTTGTGCCCTGGCCAGGATGGTCCTGCGTTAACTCCAACAAAACAAAAGGTCTGAGGGTGTGTTGTAGGGGTAATGGAGTGTTTTATAATACTCTACAGACACACCCCTATTGCCAACTCCTGGAAACATATATTTTTCCATATAAGATTTCACAATCTGAAATAAAAGTATATGTAAACCTTCACCTTGGAAAACAACCCATTCAGTTTAAAATAGAAATGAAAGGCAAAACTTTGGTGTGTAGATATAAATATATTTATATCATGTATAATTATATCTATATACTTTTTATTTTATTTTTTTTTTAATAAGTGATCACATCTGTTCTCAGCTGCATAAGATGTGGGGGAGGAGAAACGGCATCACACCAAACTTCTTAGTAGCTGTGCAGGGAGGTGTGTCAGGACACATCTGATCATTGAAGGAGAGCAGGCGAAGCTCCCAGCAATTCTGTAGAACTGACCATGGTGTGTTCTGCTTAATGTGGTCAGTTTTCTATTAGGAAAGCAGAGGGACTGGCAGGAACACCAGGGATTTCACACAAAGGAAGCAATACAAAGAGAACAGGATACTTTTTCATACAAGTATATGGCACGGCAGGCACATATTAGGGGGCATTAGGTATCAAACATGATATAACTGATGTATTTATCTCACGGGAGGTACTTTTAGAAATAACTTTGACACAGTAGGAACTGGAATGTGTATGGAGTTTGGCTATGAAGAGTTGAGCTGTAAGTCAATTTACCAATCTTACAGATTTGTATTCCTTAAAGTGGAGTTCCACTCACACTAAAAAAAATAAGTCAGGAGCTACAAAAACCGTAGCTGCTGACTTTTAAAAAAAAAAACAACCACTCACCTGTCCCATGATCCCGCGGTGTCCTCCCCGCAGCCAGTTTCACTGGCCGTCCTGTGTTCCTGGCGCCGGCATCTTCAGTGTGGGCACCTGGCTGTGACAGCTTGCGACTTCACAGCTGGATGCCCACTGTGCATACGCATCTAGTGCTGCGCTTCCTTAATGGCCCTGTAGTCTTCTGGGACCTGTCATGTGTCCCAGAAGACTGTGGGAAGGGAGGGTAGGAGGACAACTTCTACCGAAGGTGCCAATCCTTACTGGGGAGTGGGGGACCAGTCTTTAAAACGGAACTTTCCTTTTGGGTGGAATGCGCTTTAACCACCTCCTGTCTGTATGGAGGGTAAATGGATTCTAGGAAGTAAATGCTACATGAAAGGGGAGGGTTACACATTGTAAACAGTACAACCCTGCTTACATTGACAATTACGGTGATGCGAATGAGAGCAGCGGCTTTGAATGCCTATGCCAAGGTAAACA